GAATTCTTTAATTTGTGTATCTGTGATTAAGGAAATCAGAAAAGCGAAAGTAGTGGAAGTAGCTGGAGAGTAGATGAAAAGAGAAGTCCAGTAGAGACGAAAATTTCTTCGAAGAAACAAACGCCGAATTCTGTTTGCGATTCGAAATTTGGCCTTAATATGTATTTGGCTTCGATAAGTATAGTAGAGATTGGATATTCGTTTATTCAAATAGTTGAATGAGCGAATTTTCCGAATTTTCAAATTCTTGAGACCGACCGAGTTGGTCGAATATTTTGCTCGAATACGATCAGGTGTCAAGTACATTTGACGATCGCATTAATCGCCCGAGTAATGCTGGTATTCGTTTCTTTTGTAAGATTCTAATCCCCTTTACTAATCCATAATCAGGATTCCGAAGTGATATCATATGCGATCAGTTATTATATGCTTTGTAAAAACAACTACAACGTTGCTCTTCCATAGAATCTTGCTCTAAGACAGACGTGAGACCCTTACCACAAAGTGGCATACTCTTATCCTTACCCTTAGACCAGGAATCCCTTCATTCATGTTTGCGAAGTAGTTCTTGCCTAGAGCAGGGATCCTATAAGACATAGGCGCTTCTAGCTTCCATCCGTGCCTGGGTCATTGAGGCTCTGCCTTTGCTTCACCCTCAGATGCGGGGTAAACTCTGAACCACTGAACTACCGGTACCCTAGTAGTTACAGCACAAGTTTTGATGTATCAGCCAGAACAGAAACTTCTTAGCACTTAGTGAGTGACGAAGTCCATAATACGCTAGCTACCACAAATAGATTTCAAGAAGGGTTAATGTCCCAAAAAATGGTCTTTAATTCCCCTTTTGTACTCTTAAAAAAAGATGGGGCGGAACTATCGAAGCTGTAAGCCGCCAATGGGCAGTCACCTATTATGGAAGCCCTAGTGGCCAACTTTCGAAGTGGAAGTTTGATTTCATGTATTTGCGGAACTGTATGCCCCTTACGCCTCGAAACGGTCATTCACCCTATTTCCACAGGATCAGCCTGGAAGATTTTTGTAGCCCCAAGGCTAAGACGTTAGCGCGCATCCTTGGATTGTGCTTAAGCTTGTGTAAGCTCTTCTCAAATCTGGCGATTAAGCAGGGTGGCAGCGTCACAGTTCTGTCAAATCCCTCATAAAACGCTGCTCTCCCCATTTGTGGATTCCGATGACGAAAAAGAGAAAGCCGACGAGGAAGCCAAAGGACGACGTACAACTGCACTTCACTAATTCCGTATGTTGAAGCTCATTTGGCTGCTTGTTTTGCCATATAAGCGAAACTTCTGGGTTCTCCAAATATATCCTGTACTTAAAAGTTGAATCTATTCATTTTTGAATTTCCCCATTCTTCGAATTTCTTCACCCTAAAAAGAAGTGTATTGATGGTTCAGTTACAAACATTAATTTTGAAGAATTCGCCATAAATTCGGAAAAAAATGCATGTTAGGCCATCGTTACATGTAAAGAAAACCGAAAACATATATTTCAATGATTGCAAATTTAACAGTGGTTACACCTAACGAAAAATAGTAAAAGCAAAGTGAGAACCGAAGAGAAGTCGCACGCA